TTTTATCTTATTTAGCTGAGGAAAAAAAATCATTATTAAGATTTTGTCCTGTGCATTGTCTTCCTCTTATTAGTTACCCTGTTTTTGTTCTTTTCTTCATCACGTTTTGCTCTCAAATTTATTGCAGTGACTCAACCTGAAGCTTCATCTTGGACTGCTGCTGTGCCATCCTCAGTGAAAGGTCTCCTTGGATCATGTGTGGTGATCCCCTGCTCTTATAACTACCCAGAACCATCAAAAAGCCCCCAGACCTTCACGGGGATTTGGTACAATGACAATGATCAAGTCGTCTGTCATTCTGATGCATCTCAAACTCTGGATCAGTTTCGGAATAGGACAAAGCTGCTGGGAGACCTCAGCAAGAAGAATTGTTCTCTGATGATTGATGATCTTCAACAAAGTGATGGAGGGACTTTTTATTTTCGGATTGAAATCACAGACTATGACAAGTACTCCTACAAAAATAACAAAGTCTCTATTTCAGTCAGTATGTAAAATAATTTTTTTTAAAAATTATTGTAAGCATGTTGTGAATCTTAGCATAACTATATTTGTGAAAAGATACCATCAGTAATATCCAATGGATGTTTTCACTGTTTTGTTTGCAATAAAATAGGAAATATCTCTCCATTAAATAATCCCTATGCCCAGTCACTGTTTTTCATCTATTTTACTTTTCACAGTTAAATACTTATGAAATCAATTCACTTGATCAAAATTGATAGCTGCATGAAACACAACATCAGCAGCTATACTGCTTAAGTGCATTTGTATTTCCAATACAGTACACTTACCATCACAACTGCATTTGGTTTATGATCATAATCTTTTTTGTTAACACAGGTCAACCTGATTTATCTGTGCAAGAGGAAGTAAAGGAGGGTGAGAATATGTCTGTATCCTGCTCCGTGTTTCACTCCTGCCCCACATATCCACCTTCTTTCATCTGGAGTCACTCTGGAGAGCAGCACGATCAAACACAGCAGCTTCATGAAGGCCAGTGGAATTCAACATCTACTCTGACCTTTCACCCAAACCGCTCTGATCCCAACAAGCCTTTAAAATGCAAAATAACATACCATCGAGGGCTGCACCAGGAAACATCTAAGATACTTCAAGTAAAATGTAAGTGTACTGTATCAGTTTATACTAATAGCAGATAATTCTACCAGTGCAGATAATCAAATTCGGGTGAAACGGGTGAAAACGGGTGAAAACCCGTTTTTATCAGTTATGTGAAATTGCCAGAGCGAAGCCTTATCTTCCTCCAAAAGACCTAGAAAAACTTTTTTCATGCCTTCATCACCTCTGAACTGGACTACTGCAATTCTCTCTATTTGGGTCTTCAACACTCATTTCTCCATTGCTTGCAGGTAGACCAAAATGCTGCTGCACGTCTTTTAGTGTTAGAATGTATGAACACATCACTCCAGTTTTAGCAAATTTACACTGGCTCCCTGTCTAATATCATGTTGATTTTAAGATTCTTTCACTTACTTTTAAAGTTAAATGATATGGCGCCCAGTTATTTAAGCAAACTCCTCAACATGTATAACCCCAAAAGAGCACTGAGATCGTCTAGCCAGATGCTCTTACTACAGCCAAGGTCTCGATTGAAGCATAGAGGTGATCAGGCCTTCACAGTTGCAGTGCCTAGACTCTGGAATAA